TCTACTGGTAGATCTCTGGGTGATTTTGAGCAGATTGGCAAGGGCTTCTGACTTTAATAGCAGCACCCAAAGGACTCACCTGTTTGCCCTTAATTAAATCAATGAAATGAAGAAAGCTAACATAAGGGTTACGAGCATTTTTCAGTTCTGGTGCCCAGAACAAATGTATGGGCTCAGAATCCTTTCATTCCAAGGACCAAAAGAGGCTACACGTGACACCAGGAGATTACCATCTTCAAACAGGGGGCAACACCAAAAACTTTAAAAAGTGAGGGTGGGGGAGCAGTTGCAGTGAAAACAGGAAACACCTTCTCCACTCTCCCAAAACCTCTGTCTTTTCTGAGTCTACTGGGATGCAGTATGCCTATATACCCCCGTTCCTGGGGAGCATGGGCAGGGGAGAGTGGCGGCACTCGCATCTTCCTGGTGGGTTGCCTGTGGACAGCTGTTTGGTCAGAGTGTGAATGGAATGCTGGACTGGGTGGAGCCTTGGAGCACAGCTTTGCTTATGTTCTTCCGAACAGACTGCTAGGACAAAAGAACATGCAGAGCAATCCCCTTGCTCTCTTTATGACGTTCCCACTTGAAATCATCCCGGCCCAACTTGAAAGGGGTTTGACGATGCTTGCATTTGAAACTAGAGCACTGTCACCAACCTGTCGTTTTATTTTGCCCCAAAACAACACCATTTCAGCAGTAAGTACATACTGACAACTTTACACAGCCTAGGTTGCTGTATACATTTCCAAGACTGGGAGAATCTTGCTTTTGAGATCTGCCAACATTTACTGGATTCAGACAACAGGATACATCTAATCAAGAGATGAGAGTGGATTGCTGTTGAATCGTGGGTTGTCACTGAAACATGGGTCATCACATTGTCTGAACCCAGTTGAGATAGCAAGCTACGAAGAACAACCCACTGTTCCCAGCCCAGCAAGAAACAACAGGCTCTTTTAATGGGTTGTTTGTGGTTCACAAGCCATGACTTGTCAGTGCAGCTGGGTTCAGGCAGAATGATGACTCCCATTTCACCCATGTTTGGCAATGCTAACTCAACCACTGAGTGTAGGTTATCCTGTTGTTTGAGCCTGCTAACTCATTCTAGTCAAAAGCACTGGGTTGTTTTTCTTTACATAGCAGACATCATTGCATGAGAACCCCAGGCTACATTAGGGAATAAGCAAGAGGGTATGTATTGGCAGGAAACAAAGTTTAGGACAGTCTACATGACACACCTTTAGGCCAGTCCCAATTGATACTAGTTCCTATTGGTATCAATTGTTCTCAGGTATACAAATACCAACACACTTGCCTTCTTCAACATGGTGCCCTCTAGATATGTTGGGAGAACAACTAGCATCCTTCCCAGCATACTCATATAGTCCTCTCCTAACGTGTGGTATTATCTGACATGACTCAACATGTAGGATTCCTTGAAGACGGAAGGTTTAAAGCCCATTGCTTTACAAAATGAGTACAAAGATGCACTTTTATAACAATGCACATGTTTTAATACATTCACAATAAATAAAAATGTAACCAAGATCAACTGCATTGAAAAATTAGGAAGACAGTGTCTCTGTACTCTGTCCCCCATGGACAACATTCCTCCAGGCTTTCCAGTCCTCCACCTTCCCTCAGAGTCCACCCAAGCTCACACCTACTGCCTCAGTGACTCCATCTAGCCACCTCATCCTCTGCCGTCCCCTTCCTTTTCCTTTTGCTGTCAATTGTTCCCAGCATCCAAGTCTGGAATGGGGGATAGTAAAGTCAATTCTTGGGTGCCTTACAAGATACTGTGGACTATATAGGGGTTCTGATTCCACAGCCACATATGATTGACCCTTGCTGAAAATATTACATGTATATGCCATGAAACTACTTGTTTTTTTTTTTATAACATAGTCATCCAAAGCATCAAGATTGCAGAAAAAAAGAAAAGAAATCATTTAAACAAACCTAACCATGAGCCATTACAAAAATGCTTTCAGTTTATGCTTTGTAGAAAGGACTACAATTTGTAATGCCAGGAGGTTCACCTAATCTGCTAATCTTTTAGTTATATTTTCAGGTAAGTCACCTTGTGATGAAAGCTCCTCTGTGTTCTTAAAGGCTAATCATAACATTTCCTTTTACATCCAGATAGACAAACATCCAAGCCAGACTGAGAACACTACATGTCAATGGTGGGGTTTAAATCTTCTTTCAATTGGCCTACCAACTAAAGTTAAAAAGTTAACTCCACAGGTACCAAAGACGCATTTTGGGGCAAAAGGTATGCTTCAAGTAAGGCAGAGTCCAGTGCTGTCCATGTCTTCTGAGTAGGTGCTCAACGCTATTTAAAAACCACAAGACCTCACAGATCTCTAAGTTGTACCTGTATTAAGAAGCTGGTATAGGATCATGCATGAAAAACACTGGCTGATTAGAACAGAATGAGAATATTGGTTGATTGCCAACACACAAGCATCATACAAGGCTGTTCACACAACAGGACTTTCCCTTCTCTTGCCCCCAGCATCACTATCCTGCACCCCCCAAATCTCTTCGAGGGCCCTCAATGCTCCAGAGGTGATTCAAGGGATGTATAGGCAGCTGTGGGGTGCTGGAGTCCGTCTCATCATCTATGTGCACGCCGTGGTCAAGCAGAACCAATCTATTACCTATTCAAAATACTTCCCAACAAAACTTAAAATTTGCAGTCTTATCTAGCTGAAAAATTGTGATGGATAAAGGCATAATGATTTCTAATGTGACCTGCCCAGACTGCTGTCAGCTCCATTCTGGTGATACTTTACTACGCAAAGCTACTCTTAACCTGAGAAACAGCAGCCTCGGGTTACTAAAACCAGAGTCAGAATATAGATGAGGAGACATGAGCTTGTGTTGTGACATTAAGCTTGACATACTGAAACTACTTGGAGTCTCTAAAGCGTCCGCACGCTCTCTCTCTCTCTCTCTCTCTCTCTGCTGGCTAGTCAATATGAAAAGAGGCTAGAAGCGAGCTTAGGGATCAGTTGGCCTAGGATTAAAGCCTAATTCTGCTATTGACTTACTGTGTAGAATGGGGACCATCTTCTGCTTTGTTCTCCAATTCTAAAGTAGGGCTTGTGGCTAGAATTCAACAGGGTTCTTGTATGCCCCCCCCCCGATTCTCTTGCAACCCATCGATTTTGACATGCCAGTACCCCCACTGCTTATGCAATAGTGATTTAGCACTTCAGAGGCAACCTAAAGCAAGCCAAAATGTTTGTTTCTGGAACAAAGTAAGCTGGCAAAGCTTGTATAAGGTAGCTCAATCAACCTGTGCCTTTGAGAAACTAGCATTTCTGCTTGTTTCGGGGCTTCCCCGAGAAAGTGAAATATTCTCCACGATGGTTCTCACTTATGCAACAGTATCAGAGGGACCCATTGCTTGCAGAAAGGAGTAAATGGGGCATAAACACCCCACTGAATTTTGCCCAGTGACCTAAGCTTGAAGGGTTATGAAGACAAGCATAAGAGAAGCAATTGACTTCTACATGCCATGCATTCAGTATAAATCTTTCAAACACACACAATGTTAAATTCCCCCTCCCCCAAAGTATAACTCTTAGGAAAATGAAGTGTTCCTTTAAAAATTTTAAAATAGTAATTCAAGTGTTTCTAACAAATGAGATGCCAAGCAGCTACATTTTAAATTAACATATATTTTACTGTCTCAATCACAGCAACCTCATACAGTAAGATACACATTAAAAAAAGGATTTAGCATGGTGTCACTTGCAGTTTTAACATTGTTCTGTACTATAGGTATTCCATGACAAATATCTACACAGGAGTCTTTTTAAGCACTATAATTAATCCCTGCTAGGTTCACCGTATAAATTACGTGGCATCACAGTTTTTGTTCATTTAGTGTTAAGTGAATAGTAATATGGAACCCGAAGAAGGGAGATCTATAAGCTATACAGTATAGCAGCCAAATAAAGACAGGCATGGTGCTTTAAGAGGTTGAGCAGAACACATCAAAATGAACTCTATAGGCCAATATTTTAGAAAGAGTAAAATTGTTTTAAATTTTTTCATTATATACACATTGTATCTACACATATATTAATATACACTTATTAAAAAGATCCATCTAAGATTCTGAAAATCTTAATCACTCGCTTAAACATTGATTTCCATTAACCTTCCTGCTTGGCAAGGGAATTCTTGCCTGCAAAGAAAATAAAATACTGAATGCGATATGCCATTGTGATCTCATGCCTACTTGATCATACATCATTTTGTTGACACTGCTTTGCTGTTGGCAATAATTCATAAAATAATTCAACACTATACATTTGATGCAAAATGATCACAGAAGAATTTCAATGTTTTAAAATCCCTTTGTGTTCCTGACCACCCCCTCCTGCCACTCTTATATCTCTAGGCATTCATAGATATTCCTCATTTAAAGGGTGAAAGGACTAGAAAATTAGTAAGTCCTAGAATCAACAGCCATACTGTTAACATGTACAATGTTAGGGTCAAAGGTGATGCGTCACAAAGCCCAGCATTCACCACAAGGGCACAAACATTCTGGATAAAAGATGGTTGATAAAAGAAATCTCTAATATCCTTTAGAGCTAGAACTAATTTCTATATTTGGATTCACCTTCACAACTGACTGGGAATGGCACAAATCATCTTTTTTAACCATCACTACTCAACAGTACTAGTGAGTTGCAGTGGAGTATATAGCTATTTATGTAAACAATTCCCACAAGCATGACTGGGAAACAGCAGGAGAGTGTCCAAGTGATCAAAGTCCATGTTACAATAAAAATTACTTCTAAAGGAACTTCACTTGCATATGGAAGGAAGAGGTTAAGTACATGCCCATCTGTCATTGACTTCACAAGAATTTCAACCCAGCTGGAAGAAATAGAAATGGATTGTGAGGAACACCTGTCTACAACAGCTGGAATAAGCTGTAAGTGAAATACAGTACAAGGAAAAAACCCAGAGACTTTAGTGATATGACCTTTAAAAAACCATACCAAATATATTTATTAAAAATAATCTACTTTCAAAATTACTTATTTACAGTAAAAAGATACATGTGCAACAGAAGGTGAATCCAATTATTCCTCATCCAGAAAGACAACACTCCACTTAACACAGATAATTTCACTTCTTTAAAATGATAGAACAGTTATAATAAAGAATTTTGGCAGGGTGGGAAAATAAAGCCAACACTTGGTTTAGAAGTTTTTAGAATCTGATTTTTTAAGCTTAAGAGAAATCCTGGAAAGCGCAGAATGGGAGAAGACATGAGGATGAGACACCATGGTGATGTGCCTTTTGGAGCTTAGGCAGTGCATCTAATCTTTCTTTTAAAAATACTTTTCACAAAAACAAATTCATGAATATTTCATGCAAACTACCCAAAAATTTCACAAGTCACTGAAAATCCTTGGTTGTCTTTTTAATTACTACTCTGATATTGTGTTATGTGGTTGAGATAGTGACAAAAGTAAAACACAAATGTGATGTCTTTTCAGGAAAAAGAATATGCATTCTAACCCCTGCCTGCTTCCAGAAAAGGAAAAAGTGCTCTTCTCTCTGACCTAAGTGGAAAAACAGCTAAGAGTCACATAAGAGAATAGTAGCAGCAGCTATATTTGTGAAACCACATCAAGGACTGGCACCAATGTTAAGATGTATTTGTCTAATACTAGGGCATGTCTACTTTTTCTCCTAAGAAGTCAGTAGGTTGATACCAGCAACACCAGAATGTTTGTGTTTTTAGCCCTTTTGTCCCAAGATATTGATTTAAAAAAAAAAAAAACCCACCCCCAGAAAGTCTATCTATAAACCAGGTGTGATAACTGGTTTGATTTATAGTTTAATTGATTGTTTGGCAAGAATCTGTGAAGCTCACTTTTTCGACAGCAGGGGTCATAATAGTAAGCACTGAGGCAAGTATCACAAGAAACCTTTGAACAAAAAGTGCATGTGTTTGTAGCTCCTGGTCGGTTGCAAAAGCCACAGCGTGAAGAACCTGAAGACTTGGTTTTTGAACTGAACTGAGAGGCTCGGTCTTGAGTCTGTAGCATATATGGAGGCTTTTCCCTTACAGCAGCTGCAGATGATATGCCTTCACTGGAAAGAGTTTTGAGTGAATAGCTACTCTGTTTCATTGCTGGATATTCCTGCCTGCAGATGAGCAAGTTGTCACACTTCTGGCACATGGAGGAGCCACAAGTTAATCCACAGTTTTGGCACTTAAGGGAAGTGGTCTCTTTGGCTAGGTGTGGACGTTTATGGTAAGCTGGGTTGGCATCATTTTTTAGCAGCCATACATCATGTTTAGTGGATTCTTGTCTCTTAAACACACTCCTAGAATCAGGGTCAGTATATAAATCTAAATCATCTTGAGGGGAATAGTAAGTACCATATGGAATACCCGTTCTTAATATGCCATTGGCATGGGCATGGGATGAAACTGGCAAATATTCATCAGAACACGCATGTGGAGAACTTGTCATGGCAAGCAGAGAAGGTGATGGACGAATTATTTCATCTTTAATGTCGTCTTCAGTGTCGACTAAAAAGGGCTCTTTTCTGAGACTCAATGATGTCATCAAAGGTGGCTTCTTATTTTCCAAATAACTATCATATGTGTCCACTGATTTAGAAGGTTTACTAACTTTGGGTTTGAAATAATCTTTAGAGCCTCTCTCACTAGCAGATTTCTGAAGTACCATTCGTGACATGGAAGTATTTAGATTCTCTTTGCATTCTGCACGTCGTTTCAAGGCATCTGAACAGCCTCGGACATCATCACTGCTATTTTTTCTCTCCTTTACAATATCAAGTTCTGAATAACTTTTATCCTTCACTTGCAAATGAATTTCAATCAACTGTTCACACTCTATTTTGGCCAAAAAAAGTTCAAATGACACCATCTTCACCTGTAAAGGATCAACCAGGTCTTTGAGTTTATACAAAGTTCCAAGTTCTTGAACATATCCCATTGAGTTCAGTATCTGTCTTATATCCTCATCGGGTATTGTAGACTTCACATAATAAACAAAAGGTCCTGTGTAGGTCTGAAGAGAAAAACAAATCATAAATGCATCTGAGTTATATTTCTGAAACAGCTTAGATCATACATATTGCCACCAGAGGGGGCAAACACTCAAAATAAAAAGACTTTTTGGCCAAAGAATTTAACTGACAAATCACTTGAGCCTGCTAAGACAAACTGATTTCAATGATATTACATAAACATTAAGAATTTGATCACCAACTACTTTTGAGTCTATTTCTATGATGCTCCAGTACATTTGCTGTAAACCATTTCACAGAGCCTGTGGCTGATTACGGATGGTATATGAAAGTTTTAATAAACAATGCCAAACAGTGCAATGGCTTACATTTCAAACAGTGCTCCAAGTAGTATCTTAATTCCACATTCTCAAGTTAACCTGATAAAGCATATGCTTTTAATCTATAACAGAGAGCTACAGATCACAGGAATTAGAAGGGGGAAGATTAACAGGGCGCATAGACAAAATAGCTGTAAGTATTTTATAACTGAGACGTCAAAAACACATTGGAATGAGTGGATGACTACAAGCCTTGCTAAAGCTTCCATGAGTGAGACTGAGGAGACTGACACTAAAAACTGTAGTTAACATTTCAGTGTCAATGCACTTGTTAGCAGCTCAGCCAGTAATGTGTCTGCCTGTCAACAGTCTAAGGGTGCTTAAAATACTGCAAATACAGCATCCATGGATGCTGAGATACACAGAGCAAGATACAAAGCAAGATCTGTTTTAAACTAACGCCATTACTAGGGCTGGAAAAATAACTTATACGTTAGCTTCAATCTTGCAGAACGATCAGGTGTTTCATGACCTGCTTGGCACATGGTTCCCATTTTTGAACACCAACATCAAGGTTGTAAGAGTGCAAGGAATCAGGTGCCCAGGATTCTTATAGCTCTGTATATGTTGTATAGCAGCACAGAACAGTATAAAAAAATCTTGATTTCTCATTTTATGGGGCATGCTATCCATTCCATGTATTAACACACTATTAATACCAAGCATTAAGAATCTGGGCCAGAAAGAATGCTCTGTTCTGTTATTTTCCAGATGATCTCCTTCAATAAGACCAAATGTAATCCTTATTTCCACCCCTTACTGGTAAAGGATTGTATTTATCCAAGGAGGGGTTTTAAGATAAAAACAAAATACATATACAAGCCTCGTGGCATAGCAACCACTGGTGTTTACTGACATAACTTAGAAAAAACCACATGCATTTAACAAGTATTTAATTTCACTTTTATTTCCATGTTAAAAGTCAGCCTTTACTAGAGAAGGCTGGGACAGAAAAATATTTCTTTGTTGTCTTGAGATATTATATATTCAATATATAAAATACTGATTTTTTTTGTTGGATGCATAAGCAAAAGCCAACACCTCTCATCCTTATTTATTGCTCCTCACTCTATGTTTTATGATTATGGATGTTTCACTTTTTCCTTAGACTAGTGTAGACAACACAAGAGAAGTGGATGTGAAGACACAAAGCACAGTTCACTGGGGGAAAGTGCTGATATCCGTCATTTGGAATAATGAGACAGTGCTACGGAAATGCTAGAAAAATATTAGCTGAAATCTAGAGGAGCTGGGAATGCTAAGGGCTAAAAACTGAGTCAGAACGCCTGATGCTCATTGGTTGGCCTTGCTTAAGCTATTGAGTTAAATCTAGCACCATGCTGGACAAAGTTGGCCAGTCCAAAGGGAATTTTTTTCCTTGTTCTCACTGCAGCCTTCCCTGCTAGTCGGCTGAAAATGAGCTGATGGATTTCCTTGGATGCATGGGGGACTGGGGGGGGGGGGATTGCTCCTCCTCCTCCTCCCAATTCTGCTTACAGAACATCAGTGGAACAATACCATTCAATGCAAGCCACTATTTCTCAATCTAACTTGCTTTCTTGAGATACCAAAATGTTACTCTGAGATCCCGATAGGTTGGGGTGAAACATGAATAGGTAAGAAAATCCTTCCTTAGTTGGGATTCAAAGAAAAAGTTTACTTTGCTCTCCAGTGAAGACTTAACAGGGTCAAGTATAGCAAATTTAAGAGGTGAAATATATAAGGTGCAATTATCAAAAAAAAAAAAACTCATTAAAGCAGTAGCTGTAGCTCCTCAAGCTCTCTGGCCTTTTAAGGTGCTGTAAACTATGGTTTTCACTAACACAAGAGTATTTTCAAATAGATTTCCATATGTACCGTTTTTATGTTACTAGAAGAGTATGCAGATTCTTGCCTTGCACTTTCAAGTATCCTTTAACTCTGGGATCAATCTGATCACCACTCTCTATACCCGAGTTCACCAACCTGGGACTTTTCAGATCTGTTGGACTACAACTCTGAACACACTCAGCTGCTGAGTGTGGATGATGAAATCCGTAGTCTAACACATCTGAAGACTGCCAGCTTGGATAAGGCTGTTCTATCCCATCCCACAGGTAATATATATGCTCTTTTAAGAGATAAACTGATAGAAAGCTGATCATACCTTTATATTTTTGAATTCCTTCTTCCAAGGGTAAAGAAAAAGATTAACTCCAACTGATTCTAGCATACTGAATGCATTCTGGAGTGAACGCAAACTTGAAGATTTCAAAGACCTTAGTGAACGTTCAGCAATCTCATAAAATTTAATTAGCCGGAATCTATAAAAGGGATCAATCTTAGGAAAGCAGAGTAAGGCTGAAGCTGCCACTTGTAGATATTCATCACTAACTGGCCGCTGCTTCTTGTCAGAGATATCCAATTTAGATTCATGAAACTGGACATATTTTCTGAATACATCGTCTTTATATTTTGTATCCATTTGAAGTTGGATTCTAGCACGCTCGTGAGCGGCTACCTCATCCCTTTCATGGCTATCTTGAGGCAGATGTTTGATCAGTAGGTAATATAAGACAGGAATGAAGAGTCTTCTGAAAGAAAAGGCAATGCAAGTTACTCATCGTGGCACTCTTCAAATTTTCTCAGACCTCTGAAAGCATCTATAGTTTTTTCTCCTTTTCCATCTCTGAGACTCTTTGGAGACTCCCACTTTGGTTCACTACAGGAATTAGGTATTTCAGCTGGATCCATACTAATTCACCTAATACTATATATTAGATATATAGATACACAATACATACATAAAATAGATAAACAATACATAAAACAAAACTTTGAGCAGAAGTTTCTATAGATGGATTACCAGGCTTTCAGTGTTATAGAAAATTTCACACAAAAGATTTCAATTCCACATCAATGATGAGATACCATTCTATAAAATCTAAAGACCCAGTTTTGCTTAGTAGGTTTCCCTAGTAAGAGAAACTGACACAAATTTATTTTTAATTCTTAACTTCAAATGTGTTGCAAAAGCAAGAGATAACTGAAAGGGATACATCTCAATCCTCTTTATGGGATAAACCCACCATTGTCCTAAATCCATTCTTCACAATTAGCAAAGAATGGTAGATCTGTACAGTTGAGCAATCCTCAGGTTAAGCATTTTATTTCCAGCTGACATAAAATCATCCTTAACAGAGACTACTAATTACCACTTAGAAGAAAAAGCAATACTGAACATGAACAAATGCCAGCTTTTTCATCTTTGGATGTCACTGATTCTGAAGCAGCCTTGCTATGTCATATATAGCACAATCCTATCTCTGTGAAAAAGTTCATTGGGCATTGCTCCCAGGTAAGTGTACATAAGATGGCCTCACACAACACCAGGAGTCCCTAAGAATCAACTAAGTTCTTTTGTTCAAAATGGAGAATGTACAATATTAACATCCTCCTTTGGTTCTGATTATGACTTGCCATCTGTAGATGTACAATTCCTGCAGAATAGTTTACTGACACCTTCAGTATGCAAATGTCACAGCTCTGACTCTACAGAGAGCAATCTTAGAACTGCTCACAATCGGCCTATTCAGCAAGTATACCTACAAGTCAGATTTTAAGTACATTTTTTTTCTGGTTCCTAGAAGCCAGCCCTGCTCTATCACCATAGAGACATTCTTAGCCACCAGAAACATATTTTAGATATCCAAGCATTTGTACTTCCTCCAGCCTCAAGCTTACCTCTTTTTCATATACTCACATACTAGTACAACTCAGCACATTGTTATCAGAATGGTAACACAGAATTATTTTATCAATTACTTAAGCATACAGACTAAGTAAATATAGATGGAGAAAATCTTTATTTACTTTATTATGAGTAGAAGGATTTGGAGTCCTTCACTTCCAATCTTTTATACATCTTTTCCCAATTATATTTTTCTCCATGCACAATCTACAAATATGGATGTCCCAGCAAAGAAGAATATTTAGAGTAAAGCAGAGACAGAATGAGTAGTAAACAAAGGAAGAGAGTGCTACTTTGATTTAAATGGTCTGACTTGTCTTCCACACATACCACAATTTAATTTGTGACCTTGCAGACCTGTGATTTAATTGTTCTGGCAGAAAAATGATGTAAACAATAAACTAATTAACTGTTTGCCCAACTATGAACCTGCAACATTGCAAAATTATTTTGAAAAGATTGTAAGGCATTCCTCACTACAAAAGAAAACACTAATTCCCATTGTAACGATTCAGTGGTCATAATGGGTATACATTTTTCACTCATAGACAATGAACTGCAAACAGGGCTGGTGACTTATTAGGCTGCAGGCCATGATATTAAATTTTACAAGTGAAGCAAAAACATAATTTCAAAGAAAACGTTCTAACATGTGCCCTATTTCAGTAACTTTTTCCATCAACCCTAGCCTAAGCAATGAATGCTATGCATGGCTAGCACTTAAAACCTAGAGATCTCGTATGCACCTTTATCAGTAGATTAAAATATCTTCTGTGGGTTAGTTTCCCCTCCTAAAAGCCAGAATGTTTCCTTTACTCGTTAAAAAGATATACATCAAGCATCTTTTTTCCTTCTCTTTGAATATTCCATCTGCGTCGTGCTTTCCTCAGCATCAATGAACAGTTTACACAAAAAAAGTGGGGCACAGAAAGCAGTAAAACTCCCAAATACTCACAGGCTCCCAAAGGTCGCCTCGTTAGTTACCGGAGCGAGCCCGAACACAAAAGGGGCGGACAAATGGAGCTCCCGGGCGGACCGCCCAGCGACTGCGGCCGAGGCACGAAGCCCACCTACTCACCGTCTCCTCTACCATCTCCACCACGGGCAGAGGTCACCTGAGCCGCCAGCCCCTGCGCTCATCCCGGCCCGGCCCGGCCCGCCCTTATCCGCTCCCTCCTTCGGCCATACCCACCGACTCCTGCGCCCTCCCGCAAAAGTTGGCGATACGAGGCGCGGGAATAACGAGACAACGCCAGCTCCGCCCGACTGCCCACTAAGAGCACAAGCCAGCAACCGCCACTCGCCAGCCAGGAAGGCGCTCGCGACCCGGAAGCGCTACCCCTCCCTCCGCAACAGGGCACCGGAAGTCTTGCCTCCCCTCCGCCACGGCCTGAGCGAAAGCGCATGCGCCTCCCGCGCGGGCTCAGCCCGTAGGGTTCTCCTTGCTTTTTCGGCGGGCGGCTTCCACCTCTGCTCGGGCTTTCCTCCAGAGAGTTGGCAGCTGTACCTTGAACACAGCCAGGGGTGTGTGGCGCCTTAAGGACGAGCAAGCACGGAGGGCACTGCAAGCCTTAGTAGATCGGAGGCCACTTCATACGCCCCTTGAACCTTTTGCTGCTATGTGAAGCAGTAAGGCAAGCCTACTCGGAAGTAAGCTCCGTTGCGTTCATTAGGACTTTCTCGCAAGTAAGTATGGATTTGCACCTTTTTGGGTGTAGTCCTGTACCTGCTTGCCTGCGAGTAAATCCCACTGAGGTCAATCGGACTTTCGGCTGCGTAGACATTTACAGCATTAATCGTTGAGGCCCTACCACACTCTCCGGAGTTTGTTTTTACTGAAACAGACAAAAAGCCCAATTCTATTAAACCGGGAAATGATGGCAGTCGTAGGATTTCTCTCTCTCTAAAGATGCATAGCATTGCACTTTCAAACAGGTTCCCCTCGAGGAAATATAATGAAGAAATCCAGTCAGGCTGGTACAATAATTTATCCATAGTTACCCGAGAGTAAATCTCATTGACTCAAAAGGATTTCCTTCTAAGTAGTCACGTATGTGTTTGCGTTATGTCATGTTCATGATTGGGCAGCAGCATCATGACCGACCCCTCCACAAACAAAAGGATAGCACAGGAATCTCTTCACAAATTTCACAGTTGGTCATGTGAAAAGCCAAATACGTGTTAAATACGCAAAAGCATAACGCGAGTGTATTTAAGTTAAAGGCACACAAATCTGCCTGCAACTGAGCTCTCGATACGAGGGAAGAACAGAGAACGGAGACTATTTAGGGTGACTGACCAATGTTGTAACCTGAAGGGGGTCTAGTGTACCAGATTTTAAGTTGGAAATCCACACAGGTTCAGCCATACCTCCCCTAACCTACAATATTAACAGAGGATTATATAAACTCCTGGCCAGATTGTCTATTTGTTTTGGGAGGAACAACGGAATACTGCCTACTTACAGCTGCGTTCAAATTCTGAATCTCTATTTCTGTCTTCCACTCGGAAGGGCTGGTCCTAAAAATGGTTTTCTTCTTCAACCCGGAAATGTTCTCCGCAGATAATTGGAGTTGCTCTTCATATTCTTATATCTATGGGCCGGCCAAGCGCCTCCCCCCTTACTTCCCACGGCGCATGTGCGGCGTTCAAACTATATTTATATTTCGATGCATTACTTCATGTTGCAGTTACTCCTTTTACCAAACTGCATTGTCCTTATCCCAAGTGTCCTATTCCTGAAGCAATTCCAGCAGTAACGAAGTGAAAGAACAGCTAAAATAACAGGAATGACAGAATCGCTGCGCATGCGTGATTGCAAGAGCTGCCGTAGTCCTGACGTCACAAGGGAGGATTTAACTAAAGGAGCGGAATTCCTTCTCGCGTGATGCGGTCAGTTATGCAACAGAGGGGGCTGCCGGCGCCTATGTTGGCGCGGCTTCTTAGCCATTGCAGCTTTCATTCTGAGCTTTATACGAGCTATGCATGGTGGTGATCCTACTTTGGGGATGGAGTTCAGCACCATGGATGGCTCTTACCGAGCTCAGAATAAATACTACAATGGACAAGGAAGGACGCTTACGAATAGAAGATGATAGTGTCTGGGAACGGCTTTCTCCACAATAAAATTATGTGATTGCGGTAGGACTGTCCTTCTAGTTAAACCAAAAAGTCCCTGCTGAACTATGTTGCCTATTGGTGACTAAATAACTAACATTTCTGATAAAATGGGAGTGATTCCCTAAGGATGGACGTGGTATCAATGTGAGAAAGGCCCTGCATGTCAGAATTTCTGAAGACTGACACATTCTCTGCTCCATTAGTTAGCTGTTGGGGCTGTCCTGAGATGAAGCTGCATGTGATGCCTCCCAGGACTGGTCAAATTATTTTTAGCACCTGAGACAAGTCCCTCTCCCTATTCCTTGCAGCAAAACTACATTAATAATAAAATAGTTAAGCAGTTTCTGCTATTCTATAACACCCTCCATTGCCAAATGTTAGGACCAGCTGGCTAGATGGAGTACACTTCTGCCAGTCTGATATGCTGTTTAAAATGACTACACCTTGGGATCTCCTATCTAGGACAGTTTTTCTTTCGAGAAGGATTACAAAAAGCCCTATTGTTAGGCTCTTCTAGCTGTACACGATCTGATTTTAGGCTTCAGGGATAAGGCAAACGAGACAAGGTTCAAATATATACATCCTTAGACATAATATCATCACAGTGAAAGAAAGCTGACGTATGTGATGGTAGGGGGATGTACTTTGAGCAAAAGACAGCTAAGGCTGCAAACATACGCCAGGGATGGAGACCATATTAATGTCAAGGGGCACATTCAGTGGTTATCTAGGACCAAATGTCAGAGATAGGTTTGCCAACCCTTTTCCTCTCTCTCTGTCTTCCTTCTCAGTGAGTTGCTAAGGACAAATTGCTCTGAACTGATCTGTTGCAGCAGACTTCTGAAATTAGATTGAGGGTCACAGATTACATAGCTCTGGGAGCATGTCCCTTCCTATTCTACAATTCTAAATGCAAGCAATCCACAAGCCTAGCACAACTATTACTGTACTATTCTGAACTGGAGAATGAACAGGGAACCTGATATAGTGGGCAGGGATTAAAATATATTAACATTCCCTTTGGTCACAAAGCCCACAATGGCAACTCTTGAGTCCACTGGCTTCCAGCTATGACAGACCAGATGTTTTGATGGAATGAGTTACAGGGGAAGGGAGCATCCACTGAAATCTTTCCAGATTGGAACCTAGAAGCTGCACTTACATCCCATTGACCTGTGTTGACACAGATCCATTTGTTTCACTATAATCAAAACTCAAGTCACATCAATGAAATGCAGTTATATAGCTAAATCATTTTTCATTTTCGCATCCATCCAACTTCATCTTGCCTTGGAAGAAGACAGGGAAAAAGAACCATATACATCAAAAGGCCAGTAGTAGTTGTGGTAAACAGTAGTAACTTTGGGCATAAATGAAGAGGAAAATAGCATTACAACCACTTTGAACAAAACACTGCAAACCATCTATGAGCAACAGCATAATAAGTAAACTCCTTCAGCCCTGAAGCTAATGTCAACAAACCAACTCTATCCTGCTTGCTGGCCTTATGATTACTTACACATGGGTGGATTTCACCATTTTTAAAGTTGCCTTCTTAGAAGAGGGAACATTTCTTTTGTCTGAGACTGAGGCTGGGAAACTTCTTTCTCTCTCATGTGTTGCCTGAAACCAGGGGGATTCCCAAAATCTATTGCATATGTAGATTTGCATATGTCCTGCTACATGAAGCATAGTAAATTCTTTTTCAGTCCCCTAATAAGCCTCTCAGCATCCTCAGCAAGTGTATACAGACAAGCAATGTCTGTATTCTGTAGCATGAATGATGATCAAGGTGGGGTTATTTCTTCCTTTTAAAACAAGTGTTGAAGGTTATTCAAAACATTTCTGTTTCTTCCCCACAAAATGCAGCATTAGCATAGTGGTATGAGATGCTCTTCGACAGAACAACATAGGAATAAGTTTATACAGAACTGGTGTGGAAATATCCAAAAGGGGTGAGCAAAGATGAAGGATGCTACTTCTGGTAATTTTAGAAAGCACATCTGCACCACTTCAAAGCATCAACTGATTTTTTAGTGACATACTGAGAAGGTCTTTTCACTCATTGATGATTACAGAGGAGGAATTACAGAGTGAAAGCCAGTGTGGTATAGTAGTTAACAGCACAATTCTGGCACTTGGGCAATTTGAGTTCTAGTCGCTACTCAGTCACAAAGCCAATTGGGTGACTTTGCACCAGTCACAGACTCTCAGCCCAATGTACTTCACAGGATTGCTGTTGTGGGGATAAGACTGAGAGCAGGAACAGCAGAATCGTGTAAGGTACTATGAGTTCATGAAAGGAAGGAAGGAAGAAGGTGGGATGTAAGTCTATTATTTAGATTTATATTCCGCCTTTTTCTTAAAAAGAACTCAAAGGGGATTATATCATATTGCCTATCAACCTGTTAGAATCAAATACATTTTTAATCTGTGTGTCTTGTGAATTAAAACAAGAAGGGAGCAATCCTCAGTTTTGCCCTTGGCGATTGGAAGCCCCCAAACCTAGGAGTGTCCAGTTATCCAGTGCAGAATGGAAGGGGCACTGATTTCAGTTCTCCATCTTTCTGCTCTGCAGATTTTGCTAGAGTGGGTTTCCAGCCCATGTAGCAAATGTGCTTCAGAGGGGGAGCTATGTTCTGTGGTGGTGGTGGTTTCAGTCTGTTCAAAGCTAGGCCTGATTTCCTCAGATATTTTATACTTCTGGCTTCTTAGCCAGGGAAATACTGTTTATAATGCAGGAAAGTTTCCAACATCCAACAAACTTTGTCAGTTCAATCTGCATTATTGAGCTTGTCCAGTGTACTTCCAGCCATCCTTCCACCTTCTCATGCTGAGCACCCTGTGATATCACCTCACCCCAATTGCCTGACTGATTTAATAGTTCTAATTTTGCTTTCTGTTGCTTTTGGATCTGTGAAAGATGAGCAAACAAATATGCAGATAGCCAGTTGGATGATCAAGAGGAAAGGGAGAACCAGAACCATCTGCTCATAAAAACTTCCTCGAGCTTGGTGCTGCCAGCAGCTTCTCACCACCAATGAAATATGCATTGTAGTTGTTCCTTAAAATGGTACATCTTCTTTTTACTCTTGCAAGCTTAATTATGAGTATCCATTTCTTTTTCCAAGAAACCAAAAGTGGAGATCAAGCTTTTCCTCTGCTTAAGCCTGTGCTGTTAATACTGTATATGAGCACAGTT